AATTACGATTTGACGATACTGTGATACATGTACCGGATATGACATAACCCATGACCAGTAGATGGTGGCAAGAAAGCAGGAGAAACATTGGACGGTGACATAATCCTCCCATATTCCAGGCAGGAATACCCACATCTGTGCTAATATAAACCCCTTGGTGCGCCATTTACGTAGCGCGTTCATTTACCGACACTGTATTCTTATCAAATGGCACTAACCATTCTACGAGACCTGTCAAGCATTTGATTTTATAACTGTTACAAACCATTGCTCTATTGCGCCATTTCTGTTTCCTATGTGAGCAATTTACTGCGTCCATTGACGAGTTAATTTACGTCAAAATCATACTACCTGAATTCCTTTAAAGTAGCATAAAATAATAGCAAGGGACATTTCAACAGGATACTCTGAATACCCTAAATATAATGTCGACATAAGTGGTGTGGTTGAAATATGACTGTCTAGTCGACGAAAAATAACCAACACCTCTGTTAATGCGCAAGGAGTATTTTCGGGTTCACCACACCGGATTAAGAGATGGAGCTGAATTTCGAAAAACTATCCGTTAGTAAAGTTCGTAAATGCGATGGGTCCCGTGCAATTCTTTAGATCATAAATAATGCCCATGGGAAACATAGTGTTGCAAAGAGATCTCTTTTCGGTAGTTCACATCAGGCAATCACAACTACAGGACTGGTAAATGCAATAGTAAACTGGTGAAGGCAACAATGAGGACGGATGGGACGATTTGAACAGATTTATCATGTTCGTTTGATGCTCGAATCGATTTAATCACGTGACATCCTGATAGGACTAACCGACAGCAAAATAACTTGTGTAAATAGAAAAGTCAAAAGCACTAACTATATAAAATTAGTTAATTACGTAAATAAATAGCACCCGGTTATGCGTGATACTCCGGGGAAACTTATCATTAGGGCCATGGCAAAGTCAAGGGTTGCACAAGCACCCCATGATTGCATAGCTCTGGTTGTTAGCCGGATCGTGATGGCTTCAGCTGTCTGCAAGAGGCGTTTCCTTAGCACTTTCGGGTATCGCCACCGTACGGCATAATAGACGTTGGAAGCATCTTTTGTCAAAATCTGATGCCCACTTAGAATCAGATGTTCCATGATCGAGCTGTTGATACTTCTGAGCGTGCCTCTCCGCAGTGACCCTGAACAATGTTCAGCCATTCGTACTGACAGACGCCTGGTCGTATGTCCGAGGTACTTGGCACCACAGGTGCAAGTAAACTGGTAAACAATGTACGATTCGGACGACACTGGAACTCTCCTTGCCGACATCTTTCTCGCTAAGCTTGAGCGTGGTCCTATCCAAAGGCTTATTGCCTCATTTTAAAGCCCTTGGGCGTTTGTGTAGCAGCATTGCATTTGTTGCCGCATTAGGAGGTGGGTTCGCTGTGTTTGACCGGCACAAACAGTGCCGGTCTGCCCACGTTTTTTGACACGAGTGTTTGCACGCTTGGCTGGTCTATGGTCGGAAAAGCCAGGTCTGACTCAACTGTACCAGTGGTCTGTACTGCTTGCAGGAATGGTCTCAGTCGTACTTCTGGTGGTCCTAGCCTTCTGCTGTGGTACCACACGTTAATTACCATTGATGCCATCTCCGGCGTAGCCAAGGTAACTTTCAAAATTTTCGGCCCGCTCCCTTGATAGTTTGGGGAGGAAGCTAAGCGGCTGACGTCGAATGCCGCAACATTCTGCATGCCATAGAGTTCTGTGATGTAGCGCCACTCATCAATATCGTGTTTTTGTCTTTCACTGGTGTCGTCATGTTTCAGTTCGGGCACACCATGAACCAACACCACTTTCTTCATTACATTTTGACGAGACGCGGTTGTGAAGAGTAATCCACGCACTCAATGATTTTGATTTACTTCAGCAGGATCTCGACAGCCTCTCGACATGGTCTGCAGAGGTTAACCTTCCAATCAACCCTGCTAAGTCGCAATTCATGGGGTTGGGTAAATGCGAACACAGCCGAACGTACACAGTGGCTGGTCAACCGCTGCATCCCGCGTCTTTCGTGCGAGACCTCGGTGTGCTCTCACTCTACGACCTAAAATCCATTGACAACACGAATAGGCTGTACCAAAACAGCCTTCGGATGCTTTGGGCGCTCAGGCGCAGCTTCAGCACTTGGTCCGAAGAGATTGCTACTCACCTCTTCGTCTCGATAATACGACCAATGCTAGAGTACGGCTCTCCCGCATATTGTCTCATCACGCTGGGCGAGGTAGAAAACCTTGAGTGGGTGCGGTATGTAGCCACTAGGCTGATTCCCAACTTACGAGGTATGCCATATGAAGACCGATGTAAGAAACTAGGGCTGTACACCCTAGCCTATCGTCCGCTGAGGGTTGACCTAATCATGACGCACCGGATATTACCTCTAAGTGATTACCTCATGTTGAGACAACTGCTTCATCTGCGCACACCAAGCAGCACGCGAGGACACCGGTACAAACTTATCGTACCGCAGTTGAAGCGCGTAGCTCACCAACTCTGTTTCCAACGTAGAGTGGTGAATACCTGGAACAACCTGCCGCAGCCGGTAATAGAGGCGAACACAGTGGCCCAATTTAAGAAGCCTCTAGACAAATACTTTGCAGAGGCAAAATATAGAGTGCGGAACGATAATTAATACGTTAATGTCCAAGAGCAACAATTGATGCAGCTACACAGTGTATGCTCTATTCGCTGCTTCTAATCAGTATCAGTATCAGGATCAATAGGGCCAGGCAGCAAATGCACATCAGGCCATCGTATTCGAGGACAGTTAAAATCGCCCATAAGTAGAAAGTGTGGATGACTCATGTGGGTTCGAAGATGGGGCAGCCAATCCAAACAACGACTCAGGGGGCTGCGATAATCTGCGCCCACAAGCAGCTCACCACGCCTGGGGCGGATGGAGCACCACAGTGGCTCACACAAACCATCGTTACTTCGGTAGGTGCTCACAAGTCTCCCACGCAGGAAAGACCAGATGTAAAACAAGACACCATGGAGGGCATTCGTTAGTCTATCGCATCAGAAGCACGAGTAACGAGTTCAAGTTCCTGGGTGTATAACACTGAATGCACTTATGTCTCTGCGAGTCCCACTATGTCTGGCCGCTCAGACGCAACGAAACAACAAAGCTCATTGCGCTTGTTCGTAACACTGCAAAAGTTGGTGTAGGCTATTTGCAGGTCGCAGCAAGAGCCGCCAGACGTGCTTGAGGTGTGAACAGCCTGTTTATCCTGATGTGCAGATTCTTGGAAACCACCTGAAGATTGACGATACGAAAATTTGTTTCCCACTCACCAGTACGTCTTTTCAGCTCAATGATAGCAGAATTGAGCCGCTCCCTGTCTACTGCGTCCAGGTCTGGACGAACATGGATCCTTAAACCTTTCAGCCTACTCAGGCGGGACATGATCAGCCTTGGACCGGCTTCTTCTACAAAAGTGATTCTCATAGGCCGACGTTTTTTGATCATCTTGCTTTCCAAGACGGGTAATTTGCTTCACTTTTACCGAGTCCTCACCAGCGTCGAGGAGTCTGTCAATTAGACTCTGTAAAAACTCGACACCGGGATCGTAGCGCACTTAGGGTGGTGGATCACTGGACTGCGGCGCGTAGAAGGTCTCGAAGTTATAACGCCTTTGGTCGGACGAGGTTGACATTGCAGGGCAAACTATATTACCAGCCTCACGTGGTTTGGCTAACTGTTGACCTACAGAAGTTAAACACCTAACATTGCGTAATTTCGTTCTTTGTTTCTCCACTGGTCTTCAGTACTCAGACTTTCACCTGCTGGGGCAACAGTGCTCGTTGGACACAACAAACGTATACAATTTATGCTTGGTGAAACTGGGCTGCCCATAACGGTTGTACTTCGTGCCGGTGAGTTTGCACGGGTAGAGGCGGTAGGCTTAGCTGGAACCTGAAGGATCTTCGGGCTAGGTTGTTGGACCAAATACACGGAGCTGTTCGCAACGGAATGATGAAGCCTACAGGTCGACCTTACTCTTCCTGGCTGTATCTCGTTTCGGCGATTTTCACATAAAGTTTGAACGAAATTGTGTTGGATTTCACGAAGATAAAGCAAATGCTCAACTGATAATCTAACACATGAAAAGTGCTATTTAACTTGGCACAAAACACACGTGAGGGCATTTGTACGGTATCCGACTATCTTGGAACAAGTACCACAGGGTGATTGCTTCGGCATTGTGAATAATCCGAAAACAAGATGGCGGCCAATTGCTGGAGAAAATGACGATAGCAAGCTCGTCGAAACCAAGCGATGAAAACACAAGCATTGCTGGTCGGAAACTTCAGAATCAGAAATGAAACTGAATTTAGCTAACTTTCCACGAAATATTACCAATGAACGAAGCAATCCAACACAAAGTGATCTTGTCAACACAACCAAAAATAACCGACCGCAGGCCGCTTTGCGCAGTTCCATGTAACGGTTTCGATACTTAGCACCGAGTGAGAATAGAGGGTTTTGTTTTCCCACGGTCGGTTGAATTTCCCAAAACTTGGAGTATCAGTCGATTTTCGTATTTTCCATCTAGACAAGTGTGCGCTTTCCACAAACATGCGATTTGTGCAGTGAACATTACAAGAACAGCAGAAGGCATGGGCTTGTGTACCAGTGGCAAGCAGTAGAACTAACCAGATGATAAGTGCAGATGTGATCATGAATTATAATAAAGTTTATTTAGATATCTATTTGAGCTACTTCAGTGAAACCCAATCTATGGCCTCGTTCCGGATACCAAAAGCTAAAAAGCTGTTGTTGTGACGTGGATTATTGCATAGTCATGCTATACAAAACTAGCACAATGTATGACGAAAATCGCAAACTTGTCAGAGTTGCTTAGGGTTGTAAGGTTTAGTGAGGAATCTTGTACACTGTGTAGAAGGCTTCTGTATCAAGAAGATACGACACAGATAAGTGTAATGCCAAGTCACCTAACTCACATTCATGATACGCAGTAAAGCAGGCTTCCATTAAGTGCGCTGCTGGTGCAAAGTCATCCTTTTCGTTGCAGTGAAATAAAGCGGCATTCACAAGCTCGGATAACTCTTGCAGTGTCGATTGTGAAACATGCTTCTTCGTTCGGACCTGTAAAGAAGAAGAAATAAATGATGCATCTAGGTTTTAGGCTTTATTTGTGACATTCTGTTTGTTTGCGTAATTGAAAACTTCTGTTCGAAAGGTAGACGGGGTAGTAGTTTAAATTGGTCTTGAATGGAATGGTATAGTTCATACTGTAGTGGCGAGGAAGGTAACGATCACGCAGGAGAGTGAAAGGCCACTAGAAAGAGGGAGGACGGAAACGGGCGCAGACATCATGGACGAGATCGGACAGCACAACCCCAGTCCAGCAATACGAGCAGAGAGCGGAACACGAGCAACGAACGAGAACGTGACTGATGCAAAGCGAACTGAGAAGCGATGTGTCGTTAGACCAATGAAGTAGACAGAAACACCTTTGTCGGTGCACCTTGGAGTAACCTCAAACCGAATAACACAATGGAGATCAAGCAGATCAAGAGCTTTAGAACAACTCCAGCCTGGTCAGAATGCGAGTTACGGGAGCAAAGCTATGGGGTCAGACAGGCAGCCAGGGACATGAGACATTCCGGCTGACGAGGCAGGAAGGTAACATTGTGATTCCTTATGTGTGTTGTGTTGTGGGAAGGAAACGCGATCGATACATACACGCCTGCGCGCAGCCTGTGAAAACCGTAGTCGCGTACAATCAAGATTGTGCTTACTTGCCGCTTCGTTCGTGCTACAACATGACGGCCGTCATGGGGTCAGAAGCATTTACTGGTAACCGGTTGATAGCAGGATAAGTGATGCAGGACACAGTTTAACACTTGTTTCTCCCCTATCTACTCCAAATCGCAGAGAAACCTGAACAATTAAATTTTTCGTTTTATGCGCGTTACCCGTCTGTCAATACACGGAGCTGCTCAGTTTTTACATGATGGTAACTATAAACAAGGATGTGAGGATTAAAGGGGGTTAACCTATTAGCTACCAGTGTCCTACATAGGGGAGAGTTAATGATATTGATTCAAGTATCCGGGGTGTCAATCTAGTGTCATACTTAGAGGATAATGTATATTAATGGTTTGCGTCGTCCGTTTCCTGATTCGCCTGTTACTGTGGTTTCCATACGACAGCCACAGGACACATGCGCTTACAGAAGGACCTTGGGTGGCTTGCGCTGCACCACCCACGGCTCCATCAACACATCCAGTGTAAACCCGAAGGAATAAGACCGGGCGACATGTGGATGGGAGCCACGTTTCATCAAAGGAACCGGCCCACACTCCTTCACAAGTACGCTGTATTTGGGAAATCAATCGCACATAAGGCGGTGGCTGGACCGTAGTCCTCTCCACACTGGATGGAACCACTCTGAGTCTAGCTCGGCCACGAGGACCGTACACCCCGTACCCTTCAGCAACGATACACTGTTTTCTGGAGCCAGATGAACGAGGTAGTGGGTAATAGACAGGTAGGCACCTTGTCAACATGCACATCAAACGCAGCCACAACGGAGATGTCAAACAACAGCCAAGCACTTGAAATGACAATACGAAATAAAAATTATCGAATAGTATACGGAAATACCGACAACCCTTAGCTAAATGAGCATATGCAATAAATTGGTACATAGCTACACATGCACATACACTCAACACCTAAAACATCTATTTGTCTTCCAGGGACCATAAACAACAATTGTTACAAGGAAAACAAAAGCACAAAAAAATTATGTTAGAGATATTGGGTTAACCCGTTGAGGAAAGCTGACCGAACTGACTCAATCAGCATGACAGCTCTGTTGTTGGGCGGGGGCATGGAAGGTCCGTAGTGCAAAGAGAATGAGCTTGTCTGGTAACCTTGCGGCGAAGGTTCGAGCCTGCGTAGTGGCAGCACGAACCACGCAGTATCCTTAGCTCACGTGTGATCGGTGGTGTTGGCTCGAGAGCGAAGTGTCGGTACTGCGTACTGGTGCACTGCCAATGCCTTTCTTGCCTTTGCTACGTCAAGGCGATATATCCGCACTTTACGGTGTTGTGCCGGAGGACTGTATACAGCACATTAAATCAGCTTGGTCTACCAGTTCCAGTGACTCACGAGCTCGCAGAATGAAAAGAGGCCGTTCAACGGCTGTATCAACTATACTTCCGCCAATTAAATAGATCAATCATTGCGGTGACATAGGGTGCAGAACAGACATAGAGCTTGCCTTTAATTCCTTGGCCCTATAACAATACAGCCATGCAGTGTTAAAAGCAACAGCACCGGACCATATTCGCAGGGTGGGGGAGAGTATAACACCGGTTCCGGTGATTCCAGAAACCAAATTAGGTCTACTGCCTCCTCAAAAATGACGAACATTTATCCTTCATCGATGTCGAATGTTTCAATCAATACGGTGTTCTATGTGTCGATATATACAGTCTGGTATTTTAAATATTTAACGATTGAATGATGTCTACACTGTGCGCTTGCTTTGGATTTGTTGTGGCTAACAGACCTCTAGTAGTAGACACAGCGTAAACAGAAGGCGTCATCTACTGGCCGCAGTGCGTGTACGGTCCACACAATAATACTGATGTAACATTCGTGCTCCATTTTGTTTGGTTGCTTAAATGAAGAAAGCCAGTTCATGATCCACACTTTACTTGGGTTAACACCGAATTGCATGCTTGTTAAATTCGACTTGAGAAGGCTGTTCTACTGAAATAAAGTACGAAGTATCCTCCGTTAGGGTTCATTCCACTCAGAACGCTTCCTGCATGGCCAGATTTTCCCCCTTTACCGAGCTACTTACAACTTGCACTCGGCATCTACCGACACCAACCGAGAGGTATACTACACAAGGTGGAAAGCTCTCATACTCACGAGTAAACAGAAAAGGTTACAGTATTAAATTTTGATTAACCTTAACAAAATGAAGTGTATTTTCTATTATGTTTACGTCAAGTACAGAAAAAAACTGTCAGAGAAGAAAGAGAAATTAATTTAGCCAAAATGCCAATAGTTTGCATCTCCCTAAGAGAAAAGTAGTTCCTGTTATCGTGAAATTATTCACTCGGCCAGCGTTGACGATCAGATTTACTGAATTTCTCGTTTATAACCGTCTGTGTTCTTCCGATGCATCATGTCGGTTTTGTTGATCACAGTGCGTAATGATTGCACGTCTATTCGCATAGACACAAAGGATATTAATCTGAAAGCCATTCTTAGATGAGGACTGAGGCATTTCTCAACTTTATATAAGTCCAAGGTGCTTCGGTGCCACCGTACCTTAAGGAGCTACCTCTAACCTTTACCGCATCTTCGGGCTGACTTCGTTCTGCTTATTGGCCTGGCAATCGCAGTGTTCAATTCAAGCATATGAAGGACAGAAGATGCATGTATGCATACACTGGAAGCGTCATCTGGTCAACGCATGCTGTGCAGTGGCCCCAAACCCCACAAACCAAGGTTCCTGAGAAAACTCAAGCTGCTGGACATCCGTTTCTCGCCTGGTGGCTTTACTGGATGGGATCCATCTTTGTTAGATTTTAGGATTCTTTAACGACAGCAACCATGTTCCCTATTCACACTGAAAAGCGGTCGAACTGCGGTTTCGGAAGTTCCCCGTGAGAAAACACTTGCCGTACTGTCAGTTGGAGGAGTAGCAAACTTTGAAGATCAATCACAGTCCTAGGGATGCACTCAATAACTTGGTTCTACCACCTGAGTAACTAAGCAGGTGTGTCGTTTCCGCTGGATGTTAAATAAATGGGAATTTTAGTAGGACTCCTTATGGTATAGGCGTTTTACACATACACAATATTGCGAGGTGTGGGTCTCGAATAGACAATCTTAACAACCCATATAGCTGAGATCGATTGAATACCAGAGGGGCCATTTGGCAACGCCCACTAAACTTATCACTCCAGTTGATGCAAGAAAGGTAAAATACTCTTATATTCCATTTAACTTAACTGTAAGGGGGAAGAAAGATCTCCGTCAGCCTTAGAGTAGTCAGCGTCCTCAAGTGGTTTAACACACGTCTTCTTGCAGACGATCAGAAGGGATGGAAGCGTTTAGAAATTTGGAACAAGTTAAAAGTATTATTACTGCACAATATCCGTTTGGCCAGGACTGACTGCTTCAACCAAGACAACCAAACTTTGAACAGGATTATGACAGGTTTTGCGTACCTTTGTTCCAGCTACTAGTGAGTGGTCACAGCCTCCTCTACTGGAACTTAACCTTCTCTGACGGTAAGCAGCTCGAAATACTCAATTGTTGCTTGTCTGTAGTACTATGTTGGCTAGTCCCACTGTTTTGGAGACGATAGTTATATGAACTTTTGGCTTTTCTCATACTACGGAACACGTATAAATGTCGTGAGAAGAAGGTCAATCGATAGCATTACCTTTGATATCAACACATTAGAACTATTCCAAAACGATGAGGAGTGGTATTGTACCAGAAACAAATCAGTCAACCTCCTATTTCATCAGCCAGTGGCCGAAATCCTTATGTTCGCCTTACTGGGTCGCGATATTTCTACTTCCTTTCAAACGGCGTCACTGTTCAAAGATTCAAAACCCGCAGTACATGTGCTCCTTGATGATTCCACTTCAACCGATGACATAACATGGCTGCGTAGTTAAACCCTAACTACTTCTCACTAATAAATGAATGCACTTGACAGCTGAAAGAGTATTTGAAAATCGCGGAAAGTGGACGCAAACTGGTAGGTGTACGTTTTGTGTCTTATCTCATCACCATTCCCAACAACTTCTATGCTTAGATATAGCCGGACATACTTGAAGGGCAGAGTGAAGAACGGAATTTCACCCCACGTCCATGGGTACGTTATGCTGGAAAATAATGGTTTTTGCACGTGAAAGACTGGCTTTATCCGGCTTAGCGCGGCCGCCTCATCAAACCGAAGACCGCGGGTATTAGTGTGCCAACACAAGTTTGAACGATGAGCACAACTGAAACCCGGTGACCCGAAACTAGCGTTTTGTCTGTCGAGGAAGCCGTCGACGTAGGCGAGCACAAGAGTAGAGATTGATGAGATTTGGGTGATT